ATAATCTCACATCAAATGATAAAATGCCCACATGATGAGATGCAGGGAAGTGAGTGACCTAGGCACTGTGACCTAGTATTAGGCTGCCGATAACCTTCTGGTCATATGTCAGAAAAGGGGGATCATCTGCTTCTGGACTGCAGTTGACCATGGGCAAATGAAACCACAGAAAGCGAACCTGTGGATGGGGGATGGGAGGAGAGGGATGACTGTATTCCACTGTAGGTCTATACCAACATTCCATGTATCCATTCATCTGTCACTTTGCTTTGGGTCTGGGTTGCCTTGGGTCACTTTCCACTTTTGGGCTATTGTGAATAATGTTGCAACGAACATTGGTCCGTAAATATCTGTTCGAGTCACTGCTTCCAGTCTTTTCTTTTGGGGTGTGTCCCCAGAAGGCGAATGACCAGATCACATGGTAATTCTATGTTTTGGAGAAACGACTACACTGCCCAATAGGACTTTGCACAAACCCAGTGGAATGTGCTGAGACAACCCTGTGCGGACCCTGTCCGAACCCCTCCACCCGAGGAGCCCCACTTCCACCAACACTCGTGGACACATACAGAGGTTCTGTCTGTAGAAGCAGAGAGTGCTATTGTAGACACATCAATCAACACGTCTCCCAGAGTCCAGTGGCCAGGGGACAAACTTCAACCTTCTGTGGTGTCTGAGACCATCCATCACGAGGATGGCTTGGGTCACAATCGTCATCTGATTCGTTCTCTAAGCAGAAGCCCCCCTCCGTGACTTCCTTTTCTCACCTCTTCCTGTGGTCTGAATTCCCTCACTCAGTTAATTAGCATGCCTGGCACTGTAGCTTAAGACTTTAATCAGCGTGGGGTGGTTTTAATTAATCGTGTGGCTCTGCATCTGGAGTGGTTTGTGTTCCAGGGTCAGAGGAGGAGCCGGTGATGGGGGAAGGGAGAGGCGGCTTTGTTTGGTAGAAGATGTGGGTGGAGAGTCTGGGGGTTTGGAGAGAAGGAATCACAACGCCACCACTGTGGCCCCAAAGCTCCCTGGGCCCCCGTGCGGCTTCCTAAGCAAGGTGTGGAAGGTTCCCGGAGCGATTAGGGTAGAGAATTGCACCGAGATAAGTGATGGGGTCCGTCTGGTTTTCAGAAGGGATTCAAAGCCATGGTATAGACTGGCAGATGTAGAGTCAGTCCTGGAGGGGCTGGCCATTCTGGGGAATACTGCCTGAAAATGGGACTTCGAAGGCTTCCCAGAAACCTTCTCTGGGAAAGTCCTGGAGAGGCGAAGGGAGCATCACCTCAGGTAACGGGAACCGTTTTACTCGTTTTATCAGGGTCCCATGGGCACCTCACTTTGAGCATCCACACTTTAAAAAGAAGGGAAAAAAAACCTAGATCAAGCTCAGAAGAGTAAAAAAAAAAAGAAGACTGAATGTATAGATAGAAAGATCCTAGAAGAAAAGGTTGAGAGAAAGCTGAGTCTCATAATAACTGCTGAGGAAGGACTTATGCCCCTGTCCCACAGGGATCCGGCTAGATGAAAAGCAGAGAAAAAGACAGGCCTGTTAGAGTAGTTGGTAACAGCACTGAATAAGTCCAGGAAGCTGGGCTACCCCAGAGTTTCATCCCAGAGATGAAGCAATGACTGGTGTAGGGGCAGACATCGCAGTCAAGGAGGAAATGGTATGATCAAGGTGCTAAAGAAGAAAAGTTCTTCCTGGCCTGTGATATACTCCGGGGGGAGTTCGTGGGGCCAGGGAAGCCTATCAGAGCAGATTCCTGTGATGTGGCAGAGAGGGAACGTGGCCGCGCAATGAAGAATGGGGGATTAATGACAAAGACGACAATAATAACCATCACTTGCAATGTGCTCGTGCGTTTACAAAGCAGCTTTGCGCCTACCAGGTCATCTGTGCTCTGGAAAGCTCCGTGAACTGGGAGGGGTGGGGGTGGGGATTTTATCTCCCTGTTTAAAGTCCAGGGAAAATGAGACTCGGGACTTTGTCGCTGGTAAATGGAAGAGCTAGGATTGGAACCCAGCTCTGCGGGCTCCCACACTCTTTCCGACCAAACTACAATCGCGCTCATTTAAAATCGGGAGAGGAAGGATTTTACAATTCTAGGTATTGGCGCTATTTAACACCAGTTGCGAGATATTTTTAGAAATCTGAATGCAAAGCCTTTTGAGAACATCAGGTTCACCAAGCAACTAGCACACCCCGGAGCCCCGTGGCACATGCATCCAAGATAGATTATAGGACATGTCAGTGGGAGAAACTGAGGAGGCTATTAATTAAGTTTAGACCAAGAAAATGCTTTTGATTGAACAAGCCATGATTTTCTCCTTAAGCCCATGCAAAATATGGAGTGCTAGACAAGCAGCTGGAACATATGAAAACATTATTATGCACTTGTGTTACCAACTTCCACCATCTAAGTTCCCTTTTATTACTCTTTCCCCTCTAGGCATCATGTTTTCAAAGACTTTTGCCTGCTAAACAAACTGCATTGATTAAGTAATAATATATTTCCTATTTTTAATATAGGACATACATCACTGGGTATGCATACAAAAAAGAAAACAGCAACAATCCAATTTCCATTAGGCTTTTGGAACTATTGAAAATAGCTTGTGGGGGCGCCTGGGTGGCTCAGTTGGTTAAGCGACTGCCTTCGGCTCAGGTCATGATCCCGGAGTCCTGGGATCGAGTCCCGCATCGGGCTCCCTGCTCAGCAGGGAGTCTGCTTCTCCCTCTGACCCTCTTCCCTCTCGTGCTCTCTGTCTCTCATTCTCTCTCTCTCAAATAAATAAATAAAATCTTTAAAAAAAAAAAAAGAAAGAAAGAAAATAGCTTGTGGACCTTATTACCACTCATGAATTCCTGGGAGTCCAGGTACTTTGGGCTGGGAACCACTGTTTATATGCTTACATGACCAGCATGCCTATGCCCACTTACAGGGTAGGGAGAGAAACGAAAGAGGCAATAGGAATAGGGTAAGTTCCTGGCTGTGTGTAGAGCCAGCAGGGTAATTTGTACAAAACTGATTGTCAGAATTAATTGCAAAAATGGGGAAAGTCGCATATGGGCAGAGCTGAGGCATGGCCCATGCAGATTACACGAGCAGTAATAAGAGGAAAGATGAAATCCCACAAGTGCCAAAAGACATCCAAGGACACGGAGGGAGGGTCACAAAGGCCAAGGGCAAAACTACAAGAAGGGGATCAGGAGGCCAGCAGGTAACTGGGAAGAAGTCAAATTGTAGGGTGGTCTTTAAGAAGGCTCAGCATGCGCGTGAGGAAACACAACAAGACAAAAGAGATATGTAAAGGGAATGAGAAAGTGAAGGGAGAAAGGGAAGCGAGATCATATGGGGTTGGGAATTAATTATTAATTAATTCCAAAAGACGATTTCGAGACTAATTGAGCAGACCCTGGTGCCAGTTCGCCTGTGCATGAGTTATAAGTAGCCCCTGCTAAGTGTACAGAATTTTTCAGAGGCAGATGCCCCACGCAGCAGCAGGGGGATGCAGTCTGCATGTTGGCTCACGAGGCACAGAGGCTCAGTCTGGTCAGCGTGGTTTGCACTTCTCTGTGCCTGTTGTCTAATAGCGAAAAATTATAAAGGACGGCCACATCAAATTCTCTTAGCACAAGCTGAAAGATTGGGGAAGGAGTCTTCTGCGGAGATACAATGGTGTCCCAAACAGAATAGGATGATTAAAAAAAAAAAAAAAAAAACCTTTTTGTAAAGAAGAAACTGGCAACATAGAGAATAAAGACCAAGGCTATTGAAAGAAAATTAAAATTCCATGTGATCCTGGGTATCGTGATTAAGTACCTCTTATGTATTGGACCCTGAGAAGCCCTGTGAAAAGACATCTGGGCGAAGCTACGTTGGAGAACAAAGACATGCAAAAGATTTTTCGGAGCATGCAGGAAATGGAAGCATTTGGGCTAAGCAGAAATGTCACGTGGAACATTTTACATTAACAAGCGGCTGGTGAGGGCGAGTATAAGGTTTTGGAGTTGGAGAGGAAGCCTGTAGTCATGAAAAGGGTGTGGACAGGGGGAGAGGTAGCAACAGCTCTTCTATGAAAACACCAGCGTGAAAAACTTTTAAAGCCAGTTGGCCAATAGCAGGAGAAAGAGAGTGGACAGCTTAACAGCAACAAACTGAGTTCAAAGGCACAAAGAAGGAGAAAGAAAAGGATCTTGGACTTCGCTTACTTACATGCTCTCTGGGACCACACAGATGATAACAAACAAACAAACATAGGGGAACTAGGAAGAAGGCAGAGCATCTTATAGCAAAAAAGAAAGGAAAGAAGGAAGGAGGGAGCGAGGGCAGGAGGGGGGGAAGGAAGGAAGGAAGGAAAGAAGGAAGGGAGAAAGAAAGGAAGAAAGAGAAAAGGAAGAGGAAGGAAAGAAGGAAGGAATGGAGAAAGAAAGGAAGAAAGAGAAAAGGAAGAAAGAGGAAGGGAAGGAAGGAAGGAAGGAAGGAAGGAAGGAAGGAAGGAAGGAAAGAAAGAAAGAAAGAAAGAAAGAAAGAAAGAAAGAAAGAAAGAAAGAAAGAAAGAAAGAAAGAAAGAAAGAAAAGAAAGAAAAGGAAGGAAGGAAGGAAGGAAGAAAAAAGAGAAACAATAAGCATTTGGATTTATTACATTGATAAGAAGTAAATAGGTGATGATTGGATGTTTGTAGAGTGTTTTGGGGATTTAACGGTGGGAAAGTTTAGATGTACACTGTACAAATATCTTCTATAACAATTTAAAATGAACTCTAAGGAGGTTATTGGCAGAGACTTCTAAGAAAGTAACAGGTGTTTGTCTCCCCTGGATGCTTATGTGGCCACCTGCTCAAATATGACCACTCAAGGTCCCTTTCAGTTCTGGCACCCTGGGCCTCTCCACGTTCCTATGCTGATTTAGGTGATTTATCTGATAGAATAGCATCTCTTCCCAGTGAACTACTGGGCGTTCTGCAAAATCCTAATCACCCTTCTCTTTTCCTCCTGTCCTAGCTCACCAGAGTCCCCGTGGAGTCCTGTGGTCAGTATCAGAGCTGCAGCGAGTGCCTTGGCTCTGGCGACCCCCACTGCGGCTGGTGTGTGCTCCATAACACGTGAGTACCGCCGGGCAGCTTCCTCCGGCCTCCCACTTCCCCTGTAATTCTCCTCCTCCTCGCCTGCTCTGTCACCACCCTCCTTCCCTTTGATCTCTCTTCTCTCCCTGCCTTTTCTTACTCTTCCTTTTCTGTACCCTTTGCAAATCCCATCCCATTCTTTTGTTCCAACTTCACTCTAAATTGCCAGATTCCAGTAAGAAATGTATGGAAATGTCAGCCTGGGAATGATGAGGAGTCAGGATGTGGAATCATGTGGGTAATTGCACTTTGGAGGGCTGGAGGGAGATTCCTGGACATTTCTGATTATGACTTGGCTGGAGGCTGATGTTCCAGGACTGAACACCAAGAAAAAAGGCACTGGACTTTTTTCTCAAGGCTCACGTGGGCCACTAAATCATGTGCAAGATATGGACTCTCCACTTAGTGATGTGACAGCCACAGAAGACACTCTTCGATATCTACCCAGAACCTTCTGGTACTTGAGGTGGACATTTCGAGTGTGTAGCACCCAAGGACCCTCCCTCTGCTGTCAGTACACCGCTCTGGCTGTCAGACGGCCCTGGACTTGGGCGCACTAGACGAATGAAGCCCTGTCCCAAGCACTGGGCACTCTCCCTATGTGCCAATGAAGCCCTGTCCCAAGCACTGGGCACCTCTTGGTGCCAGTTCCATTGTATTCTCTAGAAGAGGGAAGAAGGCAATGGTATGCAGTGGAGGTATGTATATCCTACATATACATGACTTTCTGTGTGGTCTCAGTTTCTCCCTTTGGTAACATAATGCCTGCCTCCTGTCAAGTAGCAGAAAACTGGGGTGAACTGGGGCCCAAGGGAAGTCTGGGCAGTTCGTGAAGGAGCCCATCAGCCTGTACTGAGAAACCAGCAGCCCTGCACTCCTTGTGGCCTAAAGAAAACAGCCATGGACATAGACCGCTGCCACCAAGTCCAAATTCCACATTCCCCAGCTGTGCAACAATCTGGGGCAGCCCGGCTCATCTGTGGATTAGAGACGGCGATGTGGGGCCCGTCTTGTCCCCCTCACCAAGTCGTTGGAGAATGAAAGGAGATGGCGTTGGTGAGAGCATGTCCTGAACTGTGGAGTGCTATGAGATGGAAAGCGGAGGTGGGGCAGGAATGGCCACACCGTCGGGGAAGGCCCGAGAGCTCCCGGGTGTGGGTGCCCTGCCCCTAATGACTTTGGTCGACCCCCAGGATTGTCCAGATGGCTCTACTTCAATCGCATCCTTCCCTTGCCATGGGCACCCCAGCCTCAAACTGCCTTCCTCTGAGTGGTAGATGGTCCTGCTGGATTGCCCTCACCTCCGTTAACCTGGCATCGCATCTGATTTTGAAGTTTGCGTATCTTATTCATGTGTGCCTTATTAAGCACACGTTCTCAGAAAGCAAGAGATGTACAAGGACTTTGTCTTTGCTACTCAGCACCAAGCAGCTCTCAGCTGCTATTGGCAGCTCTCCCTTGCCCAAAATGCCACGGCGAGAACAGGCGTGGGAGAGCCGTGAGGGACCTAGCGGGACGGCTGGGATGGAAATCACTGGAATCTACTTCTCACTCTTGGCAATTGTGCTATGGGGTTTGGACAAGTTTAGGCAATTCCCATTACTCATGGTAGTTCTGTCAGTCGCCACAAACACCAAATCTGAGAAGGCCGAGCCACCACTCCGATGATAGTCCCAGGGCTAGGTTCCTCTGAGCCTCTGGTCACAGCATGTCTGTGTTTTATGTGCGTCTCCATTTAAAGACACCTTGTTTACTACAAATTGTTTTATTAACATTGAACTCACGGCCAACAGCATTAGAACTCATGCCTGAACAAAGTCTACCTCGCACATGTATTTTCTCCGTAAGGCATATCATGGTCTTCTCACGCTTAAAAGCATTAGACAGAACTTCAACACAACACTTGGAGGCCATTTCAAACAGTGAAGTCACTGACAAAATGCATGACAATGCAGAAAATGCAGCACTAAAGAGATCCCGAAAAGGACATTTGTTTATAGCATGAACTGAAACAAGAAAGCCAAGTATCACCACCTGGTGCAACCTCTGATAGGAATGTGTGGGTGTGGCCAGCCACATTTTTCTCCACCCTGCTGATGTCCAGGAATGACCGCAGAAGTGCCCTAAATATCAATGTGGGGATTTTAAATAAATGGTAGCAAGTCAGGTGAATTCGCACACGTGGAATCCACAACTTAGGAGGATCATAACTCTGTACATCGGAAACTTGGCATCCTCGTTTATAAGGAGGAAACACAATACCTTCTCGTGCTGGTAGCAAGTGGACAAAAATCAGGTAATAAAGGATGTTGTAAAGGTCCAAGGCGCACCACCAGGTCAAGGTGGTGTTCTCTGAAATCTTGAGCCTCCTGGTGCTGGGGTCTGTGCAAGTGTGTCTGGTAAATCTCAACTTCCCTGGGAGGATACAGCTCCTGAGCTCCTCTACGTGGAGACTGCCTGCTCACCCTGACACTCACTCCCAGTGTTAGTGACTAAGGAAAAGCATGGTCCCACATGGCTGAATGAAGAAGAGAAGGTCCCTGGGTCTTCGAAGATGCTGTAAATCGGAATATAATGTTTAACATAGAGAAAGTGAGATAAGCAGATCTTAAGTGTACACTTTGAACAGTTTTGACACAGGCAAAGACCCAGGTAATCCACACTCCCACCAAGATACACAAAAATCTCTGGGGCGCCCGGATGGCTCAGTCGGTTAAGCATCTGACTCTTGATTTCAGCTCAGGTCATGATCTCAGGGTCATGAGAACAAGCCCCACATCACATTGCACTGGGCTCCACGCTCAGCGGGCAGTCTGCTTCTCTCTCTCTCTCTCTCCCTCTATCCCTCTCCCTGCTCACACATGCTGTCTCTCTCCCTCTCTAAAATAAAATAAATAAATAAAATCTTTAAAATACATATATGCATATACATACATATATATATACACACACACACACAAAATATCCTTCATCCAGAATGTTCTCTCGTGCTCTTTCCATTCTTTCCAGTGGGCCTTTCTTCCCTAGTCACTTAAGTTCAGGTCAAAGCCAGACACTGCTTCTTCTGATACACTCTTATTTTATTTTATTATATTATATTTTATTTTATTTTATTTTCTCCCTTGCATTTTAAATAGATGCCAGCCGGACATTCACAGTTGGGAGAGATACATGAGGACACGGCTGGAAAAGGCTGGGGCAGGCAGAGTCAGTGCAGAAGGTGGAGGAGGACCAGAGGGAGCCTACAGACACTCCCCCTGGGGCACCTCTGTTTGCTAAGAAGGGAGCATGGTGAAAACCGCAGGGGCTTTTATTGCATATGGGAGTGCCGTGCCCCCGTGGATCTTATCTGTACACCTTTTCACACTGGCCCTGCTCCCTCAGAGGCAGACACTGGGCTAGGCTCGGTGGATGCAAGGGGACTCTGTTAGACGGCCTCTGCCCTGAAGCTTCTTGGCAACCAGGACCCTAGTCCAGGGAGGAGGTAGGGGTTGCAGACTCTACCAGAATCAGCGCATTTGGGAGGTCCCCGTCATGGGCAAGCCCCTGTGCTCAGTGCTGTGAGGCCCAGTGAGCCTGACTCTCGGGAAAACCAGGGCAAAAGAGCATCAGGAAGAGGGTTCCTTTGAGTGTCAAGTTTCCTTTTTCTGTCACTTTTGCCAGCTTTTCCTATGGTTGTAGGGAGTAGGCGGGTGGGAACTTCGTGGGAAGAGGATAGCGGAAGCTCTGTTGTGTGACAGAGAGAGGGAGGGAGAGAGCAAGAGAAACAGGAGGAGAGACAGAGGAGCAGAAAGAGAGAGAAGAGAGGGAGTGCATAGTTTAAGGGCAGGGCCCCTACTAACAGGTGGCTCAGGTGGCTGAAAAGGTCCTTTCTACCAGCAAGGGCACAGGTGGGGTGCAGACTGAACAGGCTTAAGAAATGCTTGTGTAATTGAAACCTCCCTCCTTTTATCTCAAAGGACGGGCCTGCTGACCCAGGAGCACAGAGCATCGCCCCATTGTCCTCTCATGCAGTCCCCGACCCAGCCTGAGGCTTGCTGGTTTCCAGTGGCAACAGTGGGTTCAACAAGCTGGGTTTTTATTTGCCCCTGAATCTTGAGCCCATATTCCCAGGACATTCATCTTGGGTCTGAGCCTACCTCTTCTGACTTGGGGGAAGGTAAAGAAAGGCCTCCAGCCCAGCCCACCTTTGCCTGTCCTGGGCCTGGAACATTCCCTCCAACCACCAGGCTTGGCATGTCCCCAGGCCCCTCTCCATCTTCCCCCCCACCGGGCCCCGGCCAAGAAGCCGATCTGGGTCTCAGCAGGTAACGGGATCCCACAGCAGAGCCAGCCACATCGATTGGCCCAGACGTTACCTCTCTGAAGAAGGTTCATCAGCGTCACTCCTGGGAGGCTCATGTAACCCAAGACATCAACAGGGGAAAGATAAGACCAGCTTTTATAAAGTCTCTCCCTTGCCCCGTGGTGACCCCTCCTCCTTGCAGATTTCTTCTGTTGGAAGAATGCCCACCCCGGGGGCTTGGCCCAGGTTACTGTGCAGTATCCACTCCTTTTCTCTTTTGTATGGTTTCTGCCAAGATGGGGAGAATGAAAGGAAGGGAGAGGAGAAGTACTTCTATCCAGAGTGGAAGGGTGGGGTTATAGCTAAGAACCTGCCTGTGGACAGAGCCCGCCTGGGCTGGGTTTCCTCCGCTGAGAGCAACAATGAAAGAGCCACCTTGCGGCCCCACTGTGGAGATTAAGGCAAAGGACGTGTGTGAAGTGCCCTTGAGGTGCCTGGAGGTCACCCTGATTGCAGTGACTGTGGGAGCAGAGGCTGCGGGTCAGACCCAGGGCCTCCTCCATGCCCCCCCTTTCTGTCCCCCGCAACATCCCCCCCAGGACCGGAGGGCTGTGGCTGGGCTGCTGGAACAAGGTTTCTCTGCCTTGGGCAACTCCAACCAGCCGCACCAAGGAGGCCCCCCTGCACAGGGGCC